GGGGGGTACGCTGTGAAAAGTTCTTTCCTTCTAGCAATTTCATTGTCTTTGTGCATTTATATCCTCTATGAGTAGTTTATGGTGTCAGCTTGTAATGGGTGTGACTGGCCATTTAGTCTGGAAGTTCTGTGTTGGATCGTCACAGAATATTGGAGATTATTTTTGCAGTGGGCTTTTAAAACTCCTCACAATACTGACCTAGCCAAGGGTGGTTGTTGGACACTGCATGTGGTTTGCTTCTTCTTTCTCTGTTTAGTGTCATATTCTTTGCTACCATTCTTTTTTATGCTTGTAACTCTAATTTTTGGCTCTTTTATGACAAAAAATGTTGCATATGTGTGCTATAAAAACCTCTATTGAACTGAACCTGACCAAGTCAGTCCTACTGTGGACAGGCTTCATACTTTACTTTATAATGTTGGTTCTGCACAGGGGCCATTCTATTGTCTTGGTTCCAATGTGTCTCAGTAATATTATGTTTTGCTGACTATTTGCATCATGCTACTGTTTTGCTTAGGAGTCAGGAGTGACTGCTCCGTGCCTGATCACAGTATAATGATTAATTTTGTTGGGAGTGTGTGTACCAAGTTACCATATTATTGTTTTAGAGTATTTTGAAAATGTTTCATTTTTGGTAAGAGTGTATAGGGCATATTTGTTGTAATGTTGAGACATGTTTTAAGAGTAAAATGTATTGTTCTTACAGTGGAAATTTGACCCATATGTGCGGATGGTTGGCTGGTGTACTGGTGTGGTTTGGTTTTTCTTTCCTTTCAAACCTCTATTACCCCTCCTTTTTTTTCTGTATGTCACACTTAACACTTTGCCATCATATTTTGGGGAAAATCCAAAGAAACTGGGTGGTAAACATCGCCAATTGGCAAGATGAGGCGGCAAAGTATTAAGTAACTCCTCTAAATCTTCAACACCTGACCTTTTTATGTTACAAGTGCTGTAACACTCTTAACTAAAAACTGACTGGTATGTTCCATGTTTGCTAAGAGTGTTTGACTTGTATGTCTGGCACCACAGAAGCGAGGGAAAGCCCAGCAACTCCTTGATAAAGTCTTTGAGCACCTGGAGCTGGTGGAGAAGGACTACTTTGGCCTTCAGTACATGGACCTAGCTCCTGGAGATGACACGCTGGTAGGTGGTGGTCACAGAGTGGGGGATAAAGGGGGGG